TAACTGTTTAAAAGACAGCATCTCCATCCGTTGAAAGTAAAATTTGTTAAATGTTTAAATTCTTCAATTCTACATTCTGAAATTCTTCGATGTTTAATTCTTAAATTTGTTAAATTCTCCTTGTTAGGTTTAAAGCTGATGAAATAAATAAAAAATAAAAAAAAACTTTTCCAAAAAATTATAAAAAAAAACATTAAAAAACAACGAAAATATATTTGATGGTGATTACTTCGTTCGTTGGTTGATTTTTTTTTTTGAGACATATCAACACCTCTATGGGTATTGATATGCCGGTATGTTGATTTAATTCCGTAATCTAAATATTTTGAACTCATTTTATGCTTTCAGCAACAGATATTTTGTATATAATTTTATACATTCAGAGAAAAAGTTTGCTTTCTTTTAGAGATATAGTTTGTAAATCCTAAAAATGGTTGCTGATAATTTTACTGTAAAAATGTACTTTTATATTTTTTTAGCGTTGCGTTCATCGTCATTTTGCTACAAAAATCTATCAAAATCAAGTCCAAAATGTCACGAATTCAACAGAAGGCCGCAAGAATTTTGAAGCGTCGATACGCTTCCCACACCCAAGACCAATGAAGACGACCACGTGGAGGGACGCTAAGTCAACGTGCGACGTGCATTTTTGTACGTCATTCCTCCCGCTGCCTCTTAGAATCCAAGCTGCCACGTCTGTCCCTCTCTTCTGATAAAAACGAATAAACGAAAGAAATCATCCTTCTCGTTAATACCAGTTGACGTATTAGCAATGGGGGACCCATTCATGACACAGAACGAAACATATCCTTTATGGTGCCGTGACTGGCGCCACCGAATCACAAACAATGAACTATACCAAATAACAAAAACGGCACATCACTTGAGAACTTTCAAAAGCATCAATGGATGAGTAAATAATGACATAATCAAGATGCTGATCTTCCACACAACTTCGAACAAAAGGCTAGGAAGGAAACTCCCATCAATAATGGAAAGAATGATAAAAAAAAACTATTAGACTCGAGAAACTTTTTGCCTGAAAAATTGTTTTATGAGAAAGTTTTATAAATTTCAAACGACAGAATTACTGACTGCTAGGTCAATGAATACCGAATGTTTCCTTATAAGGAAACAACTAATTTACATTTAATTTTCCGAGGAATCGAACTTAACGCACCAATAATGATGAACTCAATAAAATAAATGAATCAAGAACGAGACACAGACTGTTGGATAGAAACAAGCTGGTCCCCTCCCCGTAGATTGAATAAAGGGTTAATTTCGAAATTCATTGAAGGTTACTCAGATCGCCAGACACTTGAAGTAGGCCGAAGAGCACAACGACCGACACGTTGTGATAGTAACAAAAATGATGAAGTCATTAGTATGACTGCAAATAATCTAAAAATACAAGTTGTGAAGGTCCATTATCCCCCACGTCCCTTTTTTTTTTTTAAAGTTGAATAAAACAACCCTTTCATTCTGCTTCGTAGAAGGAAAGTAGCAAAACGCATGTTGATCGCTGGGGTCTTTACTACTAGACCATATTTACACTAAAAATTTATTTAATTCTATGGGAACCACACCGAAAGTAATACTTCTCATTGTATTATGTTGTATGTTATTGGAGTTAGAACATTCCTACCATAAACCATTTTTTTTGTTGATGGCAGTATTACATATAGCACCTGTGTGACAGTCTGGCAAAATGAAAGTAGGTATAAATATGGTGTGTCAGTGAATTCAGTCATGCGGAAACAATTGCACCAGTTGGTGTTTATCGATGCTTGCTAAGTTTACTGAGACCAATGAGTGGATGTGAGCACTGTCAGACGGAAACTAATTCATTTCGGCAGTGGCGGTAGTGGTGTATTTGCTTTCCGGACTAAAATGTCTAAACGAAAGTGCTGGTTAAATTGTATTCTTGTTCTATACCAACTGTGATGTGCTTCCTGATTTTAATTTTCTTAGAAATAATAGGAGGTATTACTTTGCGAACGTACCTTGTACAGACAAGGACAAATCCATTCTAAGGCTATTAGATGTCAAGCCACGATTCAATTCACCAATCACAATCAGATATTTAAATAAAAGCCGGATTTTTGTAATGATTCAAAAACCCTTCAAGTTTTTAAATTCTATTGTGAAAAGAATAGGGCAGTTACTCTGGAAAACAGATTCTAGAAAAAAATAACAAAATATATAAAGAAAACTTTTAAAAAAGTATTTGGCACGAGAAGCATTTTGAGAAAGTCCTTGAGAAATTTGAACCCAGAAGGCATTATTGTTCCGTGTTAACTTTTCTTGTAAATGTTTAAAGGTTTTGATCTTCAAAGAAGGAAAGAAAAAGAAAAAAAAAAGATATTTTGCTTACCGGGTTATTAATAAAGTAATTCAAATTTATTAAAAAAAACACCAGATTGTTTGAGATCAAAATATTTTAATTATTGGAGCTTCAAAGAACCAGTGGATTTTCACAGATACATACACACATGCGCATATATATATATATATATATATATATATATATATATATATTTTGATAATATTAGTGGTCAATATATATATATATATATATATATATAAATTTCCAAGAGGAGAGAATCCAGGTAGAACTCAATGTCCAGGCCAGAGTAAAAATATAAAATAAAAGGCTCAAACACTCATATTCCATGATTATAATTTATTACATTGGAATCGTAATCACGATCCAATTCATCAGACCTACAAATTCAAAATGCATTTTGAATTTGTAGATGGCTGACAAGGTACAGCGATTAAGCTTTTTATTCAAATTTTCTTGTGTTCGTATCATTGTTTTCTTTTCTGGACATATTCAGCCAGTTATGTGCCATGCATGATACACAATTAGGAGATCATGTATCTTTCAATGCATGACTGAAGAGGCAGTTTTTTACCCGCTTTAGCCATTTCTTTCTGCAGTAGACCAGTTGCCATCCATGGCTATAGAACTATGCTACTATTTACCCATATCTTTCCCAATGGATTTCACTGGAATTCGAACCCGGCTCTCCGATTCCTCAATCCGAGCCGATATCCATTATTCCACCATATAAAAATATTATAAGCAGGTAAACATTCAACTGAAATAGAATTCAGCCACACGCAGGCTTATGATTTGTTTTTAATCCAGCGCTGAACATCCATTAGACATATATATATATATATATATATATATATATATATATATATATATATATATATATATATATATATATATATATATATATATATATGCGCTGTAACTTATTGGAAAGCCCCTCAATATCAGTGATAGAACTAACATAATTTTAAACATAAATCCATCGCAATAAAGTTCTTAAATATTTGTAGCGAGCAAAGTTTAACAATATATATATATATATATATATATATATATATATATATATAATAAATTAAGAACTAAAAAGTTGCCACCTTTGCATAGAAAAAAAGTCATGAATTTGAAATTGATATATAATGATAAAATATGCAGTAAAACAAACGGTAAAAATGTTTTGAATTTACACAAATACGTATCAACATACGCAGATAAAGTAACCCCTGAACATGGTCTCAGCTGAGACTGAAAGTACTTGGGAAAATAAAAATTATTTGAAAGAAAATTTTTCATTTTTTTCTTAATCAATTTTCTACAGCTACCAAGAAATTGTTTCGTGGACTCGAAAGGTTTGAAACAAAACAAACAGGCATGGTATGTCTGAATCATTTAACTAAACTTGAATATATATATATATATATATATATATATATATATATATATATATATATATATATATATATATATATAAACAAAGAACCCGGCATTTTACAATAGGTGTCTGGTTTATATAAGACACAGTAGAACTTGAAAAATTAATTGCTTTACTACGATCCTCCTTTTGTGCTCCATACTTTCGGTCTCGTGCCACACCTAAACTTCGCTCGAAAAAGCATGATGGAACGGATAAACTGGAGATAAGCAAATACTACTCAAATCCTACTCTAATGCGGCTACCATTCATAAGTAGGAGCATTCCATTGTAACAGTAGAATGGCTGAGCAGGAAGTACGCTGAGTCCTATTCTACAACACTTTCGCATACCAAATAAATTAACTTCGATAATTAGTAGACTTATTCCTGGCAGAAGAGTTAATCATTAGCCAATGAGGGTTTACTCAGGCGTGGTTAGCTACTCTTTCTCCTCATTTTAGATTGGAGAAGTTTCTTAGCTCCCGGGATTCCAAACCTGCAGCTGTACCTTCCTTAGTGCAGTAAGAGACATTGGATCGACGTAATAACAACGCCAATTTTGATCCTTGGCCCATAAGTATGTGTATGGTGTACCCCATGTTTAAAAATACCTTGTGTTACATCCAGCCTTGGTGAGTAGACCAGGTAAATATACATGGCACAGATGTTTGTTAAATCACGACTACAAGGATTCCTGTTGCTATGAAGGGCTTGTATGCATGGCTTAACGTTTTCAGTTGTCGAAAGTGAAATCCCTAAAATGATTTATTTCCTGGCAATGTCTTTTACTTGTCTTTCGTAACTAAAGAACATTCATATTCTTCCGTTGCCTGAATCATTGTCATTATTCATTTTTAGTCAAACATCTATTGATATTTTTGCTGCATTTTTTAAAAACATTGTAGTAGTAATAGACGTAATAGTTTTAATTTAACGAAATTTCTTAGATGAAGCATTGATCAGCTTTTATTTCATTTCATTTATTTATTTTTGTTTTTACCACAGTGTAAATCTCTCCAGAATGTTATTTTTTTTATCATCGATCTAATCTATCCACTTAACGGTAGTAGAATGTAAATACGACCTGAGTGTTGTGATAAAAAGCAACAAAAATAACAGCATTGAAGAACAGTCAAATAAATACTACAAATATTTCTTACAATTTAATTTCTACTTTCATGTTCTCCTGTCATGAGCCATTGAACTTTTCTCCTGACACTGGTAAGATAATATATTAACAATATTAGAGAGAGAGAGAGAGAGAGAGAGAGAGAGAGAGAGAGAGAGAGAGATTAATACACTCAAATATGAACTGGTTCAGATAGATAGATAGATAGATAGATAGAAATATATATGAACACAGACACAGATAAATAAATAAGAAAAGTCCGAGATAGGTGGGTAGATAGATACAAAGATAGATGTGAACTGACATAGATAGATAGATATGAACAGATTGAAATAAATAGAAATGAACAGACTGAGATAGATAGTTATAGGGAGAAAGTTTGAGAGTGAAATACATATGAACACACGCAGTATATATATATATATATATATATATATATATATATATATATATATATATAAAAGATAAACCTAAGGAGCCAGGCAAACCTACCTAGGTTTCACGTAAACGGATCATGAGGGAAAGGGCCGGCATTACCCTGACGATCCGTTTAGGTGAAACCTAGGTAGGTTTGCCTGGCTCCTTAGGTTTGTATTACGTTTGCTCTACTTCGTGTATTGAGCACTTTAAGTAGTTGATTTTTCTCGTTTTGAATGTTTTTTTTTCTTTGGACTTTGAGCTTGAACTCTGGACGATTGTTTTCGCTTTTAATTTCATGTTCTTGGTTCTTTCTTTTTATTTCTCATTTTTCGTTGGGTACTGGTTTGTTCTACTACAAGCCAACATACCCAAGCTAAATATACCATTTATATATATATATATATATATATATATATATATATATATATATATATATATATAGTTTATGCAAAACTAGGTAATCCGTATGGGTAGACCCAAGGAGGATGATATCCAGAGAGCTCAATGTAAATTCAGAGCAAATAAATTTTAATAAAACAGACCACAGTAAAGTCTGATGATCTAGAGACCTTTAAAAGGGCTGTGGTGAAATAATTTATTACATGGAATATTAAAGTGGTCTGTTTTATTCAAATATATATATATATATATATATATATATATATATATATATATATATATATATATATGAATTGATTAGATAGATAGATCGAGGGAGAGAGAGAAAAAAATACATATTAACAGACACCGATAGATAGATGTACGACTACAAACTAACACTCAGAATATTTGTAGTGCCAAGCAACGCAGACTTTTGAAGCGATGACATACTCGGCGTTATTCACATTTTCTTTCGATCCGATGCTATAGATCCCAATGCACCACTGATAACTGGGACAATAGCTGTTTGAATAACTCCCATTTTGTCAACCTCCTTCCGAAGATCGGTGTACTTATTAAGCCTGTCAGTCGCTTTGATAATGATATTGTTGTTGTTATTATTATTTGTGTATGTTATGCTTTTTGCTTTGTGCCCCGTAGAACCGGGTCCAAACTATGGTCCTTAGGCTCTATAGGATAATGTTTATTTAATTGATAGTACTTTTCTTAGTATATGGGATGTTCCTAGGAGGGCGATCTTCTGGCCAACTTGTATATCGATGTTACTGGGACACTGTTAGTAAAATTGTCCATTCCTTTTCTCACGAGGTCTAGTGCTCTGATTACTATTGGTACAGTCTCAGTCTTCATTCGCCACATCCTGTTAATCTCGATTATTATTATTATTATTATTATTATTATTGTTCTTATTACCCGCTGCATTTGAATGATTGTATTTTTGCCACTGCGTCTGTGACGTCACTGAACTTTTTCTTGTAGCGTTTTTTTAAAATTCTTTTTAATTGCATGTATTTATTTTCTACATGATTTTTTTTGTGTTTTACTTTGTATTCTTTCTCACTTCTTCCTCGTAAGCCGCCTTTATTCTTCTTTATTTTGGTTACTCTTTATCTTCAAATCATCTCCCCCATTATTTCTTTAACCCACGATACCCTCCTCCTCCCCCTTCTTTTTCTTCTTTTCTTTTTCTCCTTCTTCTTTGTTTTCACCTTCTCTTTAACAGTAGGCTCCTGTTATAATTACCATTATGTCTTCTGTCTGTTGAAAGAATCCAATTTGCATATAATTAAAGAGAAATCATTATGAAAAGCGACTAAATTATCTTTTCTCTCAAAGACAAGATTACCAAAGCATACACCACAATCGCCATGACAAAGGCCGCAACAACAATATCAGTTGCCGAAACAACACAACAACAACTGAAAATAAACAAAGAAGCAATTGAAAAGGATGCATTATCCGGTGATAAAGACTTTAACTCTTTAAATAACGGATCAGCTTCAACTTATATAAACGGAAAAGATTAATAAATTATATGCCTATAATATTAATAATACTTATCAATAATACTTATTCCTATAAGCCTATTCCAGTTGAATCCATTATATTCACTTACGTGCTAATACGCTTGGGAAAGGTATGAATCCTCTTCTTCTCCCCACAGCTCTGGGTAAATAGCAGGACAGTCCGGATTCTGTAGCCTTGGATGGCAGGTGGTCTACCGTAGAAAGAAATGGCAACCTACTGCGAGAAAAAATTTGCTTCGTCAGTCATGTATCGAAAGATACATGATCTCCTACGCGTGCATTACGAATGGCATATAACTGATAAGCCTATGATATGTATAGCATCAACAACAACAGATATGCCTATATAAGCCTATTATACGAATAACATCAACAATAGATATGCCTATATAAGTCTATGATATGTATAGCCCTCAACAATAGATGTCTATATAAACCTATATGTATAGCCCTCAGCAACAGATATGCCTATAAATGCCTATGATATGTATAGCCCTCATCAATCGATATGCCTATATAAGCCTATGATATATAGAGCCCTCAACAATAGAGATGCCTATATAAGCCTATGATATGTATAGCATCAACAACAGATATGCCTATATAAGCCTATAATATGTATAGCCCTCAACAATAGATATGCTTATATAAGCCTAAGAAACACTCAGAAATGGTGTAAAGCGTGGTATTATTATATTTCGAAATTTGATTTGATCTTAAATGTTTTCTATTATAATTAATTATATTCACAGACGCTCTTCATTTCCTACCATATTATAATTGTGCTTGTCTCGCACTTCGTTAGTTTGCACGGCCGTTACGACCGGCCATAACCTAATAAATAATGGACTAATCGATTTTGATAGCGTGAAAAGAGGAGAAAAGGAAATACTTGGTTTCAGTAAGTAAAAGAAAGAAAGATAGATAGACGTGTTTTACATCTGTTTCAGTGAAATGGAAAAACTCAGTTTTAAATCTCTTCATTTGTACCCAATTCACAAAATAATGATTCATTCTCTTTATTTCGGAGATGAATTATTCTAACTATTTACACTATTTACATCGTTCAGAATGTTGTCTTCATTTTTACTGCCATAATTCACGACGTTTCGACCGTTGTACGCTCCAGCCTATATCAGGATCTGTTTGTATTTTTGAGATGAGATATTGTAAATATTTACACTATTTACATTGTTCAGAATGTTGTCCTCATCTTTACTGCCATATTCACGATGTTTCAGCGGCTGTACGATCCAGCCTACATCAGTATCTGTTTGTATTTCTGAGATGAGATATTGTAAATATTTACACTATTTACATTGTTCAGAATGTTGCCCTCATCTTTACTGCCATATTCACGATGTTTCGGCCGTTGTACGCTCCAGCCTACATCAGTATGTGTTTGTATTTCTGAGATGAGATATTGTAAATATTTACACTATTTACATTGTTCAGAATGTTGTCCTCATCTTTACTGCCATATTCACGACGTTTCGGCCGTTGTATGCTCCAGCCTACATCAGGATCTGTTTGTATTTCTGAGATGAGGTATTGTAAATATTTACACCATTTACATTGTTCAGAATGTTGTCCTCATCTTTATTGCCATATTCACGATGTTTCATTGTTGTACGCTCCAGCCTACATCAGGATCTGTTTGTATTTCTGAGTTGAGGTATTGTGTTTATTTACACTATTTACATTGTTCAGAATGTTGTCCTCATCTTTACTGCCATATTCACGACGTTTCGGCCGTTGTACGCTCCAGCCTACATCAGGATCTGTTTGTATTTCTGAGATGAGGTATTGTAACTATTTACATTATTTAAATTGTTCAGAATGTTGTCCTCATCTTTACTGCCATATTCACGACGTTTCGGCCGTTGTACGCTCCTGCCTACATCAGGATCTATTTGTATTTCTGAGATGAGGGATTAGAACTATTTACACTATTTACATCGTTCAGAATGTTGTTCTCATCTTTACTGCAATATTCACGTTTCGGCCGTTGTACGCTCCAGCCTACATCAGGATCTGTTTTTATTTCTGAGTTGAGGTATTGTAACTATTATACTATTTACATTGTTCAGAATGTTGTCCTCATCTTTACTGCCATATTCACGACATTTCGGCCGTTGTACGCTCCAGCCTACCTCAGGATCTATTTGTATTTCTGAGTTGAGGTATTTTAACTATATACACTATTTACATTGCTCAGAATGTTGTCCTCATCTTTACTGCCATATTCACGACATCAGGATCTGTTTGTATTTCTGAGATGAGATATTGTAAATATTTACACTATATATATTGTTCAGAATATTGTCCTCATCTTTACTTGCCATATTCACGATGTTTGGCCGTTGTATTCCAGCCTACATCAGGATCTGTTTGTATTTTGAGATGAGATATTAAAAATATTTACACTATTTACATTGTTGAATGTTGTCCTCATCTTTATGCCATATTCACGACGTTTCGGCTGTTGTAACGTTCCAGCCTACATCAGGATCCGTTTGTATTTCTGAGATGTGGTATTGTAACTATTTACTATATTTACATTGTTCAGAAATGTTGTCCTCATCTTTAATGCCATATTCACGCGTTGTTCGGCTGTTGTACGCTCCAGCTCACATCATCGATCTGTTTAATTTTGAGATGAGGGATTGTAACTATGTACACTATTTAAATTGTTCAGAATGTTGTCCTCATCTTTACTGCCATATTCACGATGTTTTGTTTGTTGTACGCTCCAGCCTACATTTTTGATCTGTTAACCATTTCTGAGATGATGTAAGTAAATATTTTAAACTATTTACATTGTTCAGAATGTTGTCCTCATCTTTACCGCCATATTAACGATGTTTCGGCCGTTGTACGCTCCAGAAACATCAGGATCTGTTTGTATTTTCTGAGATGAGATATTGTAAATATTTACACTATTTACATTGTTCAGAATGTTGTCCTCATCTTTTGCCATATTCACGACGTTTCCGCCGTTGT